TCACGGTTATCGATTCTTTTTTTCTCTCCAGAAATGCGGACGACAGTGTTTTTAGATACTCCTGTGGCTGCAGCAACACGATCATTTACATTTTTAAATGGTATTGAAGGTGAATTAAGGTTTCCTTCTCTTCTCATAAACTCTATAACATTGGCTATTATTTCGCGAGATTGACTGTTAATCACGCGGCCTCTTAATTTGCTATTAAACTCCATACTTAGGTTCTATTAAACTGTAATGAGCAAAAAACACAAACGAAAATAAAAGAAATGTTTTAGCGAAAATTACATCTGACATTTACGTCTGAATGAAATAGTGAAATACTTGATGCGCAGAGTGTACTTTCATTGCGTAAATCCGTCGGGATGCCTGTCAGTAGTGCTTTCTCTGTCTAGCCGTCGAAAGCCTCTAGAAATTTGATGAACCTTAACTATGTTTAACGGAGGTGGCACAGGAAATCAGTGGCTTAATATTAATATAGAAAAAAAAAAAACTTAAAGAATACATTGCCCTTAGTATAAGAAATTAGACTACAGAAAAATTGCAGCTAGGTGTGGAAATCCTAAAAGATATTTTGGTGGTGAAATTCAGTATTGATAAAACTTGCCAAGAGTTCTAAGACGGATAGAGATTTTTTAAAAAAAGTTCATAAATTTGAGAAGTATCCGTAATATCAAAAATATTTTTTAAGTTCATACGTTTTTTCAAATGTTTAAGTGTAGTTAGTTTAATAAAAGTATTTTCAAAATTGCATTTAAAATTTCTCCATTTCCTCTCAAAAAAAATCTAGTCACTTTTGTAATATTAAAAATTTCAGTTTGAGTATCATAGCTTAAAGTCCAAATAAAAGATAATGAAATTAGTGTGATTTACAATATTGACTTATTTTGAGACTAGTTAGACAATGCATACCATAATGGGGATGCACTGTGAAAATACAGTAAATAAGTTAATTATTATATTGGGAACAATATCAGGTGATAATCAAATATATTCATGACAAAATAACTTACAAAGTTGTACAGTTAACTGCAGCTCAAACTAGTAATTACAAATTAGATACAAATTAAACTTATTCTAACAATTACAGAATTTTACTAGGAACCTCAACAATGGAAATAAACAAATAAAGTTTTAAGTTTCTTTTATTATTTATACTAAATTATAAAAGTATATCAACTAATTTATTTAAAAGGATATTTTCACCCAGTCTATGTTAAAATGGGACCAAGGCTGTTGAATGATAATCGGTGATGGATATCAGTATCTGTTCAAAATGTTCACCACCCTTCTTTTCATACTTTTGAACAGTTTCTCCTCACTTATTATTTGTATTTAATTTAATATAACTCCTCCAGTACATAAACATCATGTAAACGATTTTGAATTCAACAATCGACCATATTCCATACTTTTAACAAAATCATTACTTATGGCCAGTTCCTGCCAATATACCTAAAACAATGATGATTAGAGTTTTTAACTTGTACGAGAGTCAGTCTCCAAAATTCTGTTCCTACCTGCTATTTTTTTTAACAGACTTCAAAAAAGGAGTAGAGTGGTTCTCAATTCATTAGAATATGTTTTTATGTATGTTCAGTAGTATTTACCACGTTGTCCGTTTTCTACAATTTCTTCTCTGTTAGAAAGGGGGTACCTCTAGTTTGGTCCTTTTTAAATGTGGTCAAGATCTGATGATGAGATCCATAAAAAAACAGCGTTCTTCATTTTTAGAATCGGTTTTTTTAAATTTACTTTTATAACTTATATTACTCACTGATGTATTGGGAATTTGCACCTTGGGAATTTAAACCATGTGAATTTGCACATCTTCAACAGCTTCTGATATTATTGGAGGCTTTCCAAAGGTCTTTCCTTTACAAAACGTTGAACAAGTATTTGTTTATGAGGACAAAAGTAACACTTCTTTCTTTTGAAAACTGAAGTATGTATTTTTAACTGTGCTTTAAAAAGTGCCTTTCTGTTTTTATTTTGTCCTTCTTCATGTTTTTCTAACAGTGTTATATTAATTTAAAATAGCTAACACAAAAAATAACAACAAACTGTCAATACAAATTCGCAACCAACTATTTTCTATTTACATTTCGAGAAACGTCATAGATTACGTCACAAATTACAACCGCTGTCAAATTTTAGTAGGACCGCTGTCATTTATTTGTTAACCGGAACCGCTCGCGCGAGCTAAATCGAAAAATGCTTTAGATTTTTATATTAGGCGATTTTAAATCAGTAACTAGAAATGTGACCAAGTCAAGTGTGGTCAAGGTTCTTACGTCATTATAATGACGTTCTATTAATCTGATTTAAAAATGTTTGGTTTATATTGACACTAACTTGACAATGCTTATGATATTGTCAGATATCGTGAATTTTTGTTCATTATGTATTGTAGTTAGAATTTGGTTTTGAATTTAGGGATAAAAACAAGTTATAAAAGTAATTTATGTGGGACCACCCTTGAGGTAACCCTTTACTAACAAAAAAATCATAAAAATTGGACAAGGTAATAAAGAATTATCAATAAACATACATAAAAACGAAGAGTTTTAGAATTTTCTCATGGACTCATTATTAGATTGTGAACAAATTTATTAGGACCAACTCTGAAGTAACCCCTTTCTAACAAAAAAAGAAAGATTTAAATCGAAAACCGTGTTAAAGAATTATTAATAAACATAAATATATAAAAAATGACGAGTTTGAGGATTTTCTCATGGGCCCAATAATTAGATTTTGACAAAATGTATAAGGGACCACCTCTGAAGCATCCCCTTTCTAACAAAAAAGAATCATTGAAATCGGACACGGTATTAAGGAATTATCGCTAACATACATAAAAAAATATATATAAGACGAATTGAGCATGGATGAAGAAAAAAATTGGTGTTGTAGTTGCTTTGGCCTTCGAGCATATTTCATAGAGTCCGCATTCAACAGCGTTTGTTTGGGTTAAGAGGGGAAATAGGTAATGAAGCTGAAACTAGCAGCCAGAGTTAGCAGCCTGTGTGAGAAAATACATACAAGTTATATTTCACAAAATAAAGCAATAATACTACTTAATTTGTCTTATTACAATAATATTAGTAATAATAACAATAATAATGATAATAAAAAAGCGAGGACATCCGTATTTGGAAAAAAATTATTAGTAAAAATGATATAAATATAGGTACTTTAAAAAAAAACTTTAAATATATATTCAAATTTCTTTTAACGAAAAATGATCGGCCCTGGATTAAATCATACATAAATAGATTCTTCAAGTAATAAGGTACAAGAACACATCAATCAAAAAAACAATATCGAGTGCTGGATTGTTGGAATTATTATATTTGTATGCTAAAGTAATACCTAACACAAAAAACATATTGTTTTTTTAATGAAAAATTAACGACGCTGGGTTTTATCGTACATAGATGGAATCCTTAATCAATATGCTATAAAAAGCAGTTAATTAGAAGTACATTATCGAGTGCTAGAACTTTAAAAATATCAAAAAACTTTTAGGCTCGAAATACATTTCCAGTAAAAATGTGATTTCTCTTAACGAAAAACTATCGGCGCTGGGTTATATGATACATCAGTAGATTACTCAAGCAATAGGCTACGAGAATACGTCAATATAAAATGCAATATCGAGTGCTAGAACTTGGAAAATAACAAAAATTAGTAAGGCTAGAGAAATATTTCTCGTAAAAATATGATTTTTCTTTAAGAAAAATTTACGGCGCTGGGTTTTATCGTACATAGATTGAATCCTCAACCAATATGCTATAAGAATCAGTTAATCAAAAGTACATTATCGAGTGCTAGAACTTTGAAAATATCAAAAAACATTCAGGCTCGAGAGACATTTCCAATAAAAGTGTAAATTCTCCTAACGAAAAACTATCGGCGCTGGGTTATATGATATATCAGTGGATTACTCAAGCAATAGGCTACGAGAATACGTCAATATAAAATACAATATCGAGTGCTAGAACTTGGAAAATAACAAAAATTAGTAAGGCTAGAGAAATATTTCTCGTAAAAATATGATTTTTCTTTAAGAAAAATTTACGGCGCTGGGTTTTATCGTACATAGATGGAATCCTCAACCAATATGCTATAAGAATCAGTTAATCAAAAGTACATTATCTATTATCTATTATTTGAAAATATCAAAAAACTTTCAGGCTCCGAATACATTTCCAGTAAAAATGTGATTTCTCTTAACGAAAAACTATCGGCGCTGGGTTATATGATATATCAGTGGATTACTCAAGCGATAGGCTACGAGAATACGTCAATATAAAATGCAATATCGAGTGCTAGAACTTTGAAAATAACAAAAAACAATTTGGCTCGGAAGACACTTCACATAAAATTTGATTTTACTAAATATCCATAATCCAATATCGAGTGTTGATTGATTGAAATTAATAAAATTTTATGCTAAAAATAACATATGATTAAATCCTAAATGGATTCATCAAGTAATAGGCTACAAGAATACCTTAATCGAAAATACAATATCGAGTGTTACAACGTTAAAAATTATAAAATATATTTAAGCTCTGGAGACTTTACATAAAAAAATATGAATAGAAAAATTATTCGTATTGGGACAAATCATACATTAGTGGATTCCTTAAGCATTAGGCTACAAGAGTACGTTAACAAATTATTGTATTTGTAAGATAAAGTTTCGGATAACACTAATTACCCTTTTTTTTAACAAAAAATAATCGCCGTTTAATTATATGAAAGTATCAAATTGTAGGAAATTTTTCAGTGTGAACTTAAAAAATATTTTTTTTGCTCAAATCTGATTTTTTTGTTGTCATGAAAGTGTTTTTAGGGAAAGTGCGATACGTCAGTTTGTTAAGTCACATTGAGTTAAATATAAGTCTTTAATTTTTTGATAATATTTTTGCCTTTCCTTTAAAACATGCAAATCAGCTTTGAAAAGTTAGCAGAGGCTTTAGCACATATATTACCTCAGATGTCGTTAAATTATTTTCGTTATTCGTCACAATGTCATGAATATGTGAAGAAAGATTGTACATGGGAATTGGTATGTCGCTATATATGACCAACTATTAAACATCCGAAAACATTAAAAAAACACGTAAAAAAATGTTATGACATGTTTCGTCGACATTATGATGCCATTGAAGAGTGTTATTCAGCTTTAACAACTCCAGAGTTGAATTCTGATTTGGATAAAAGGACAAATAACCTTGTGGACGTTCAAGAAACAGATTTTCTATCGGACTCATCTAATTGCTACGAGAAAAATCACATTACTGATAATATTGAAATGATACCATGTAGTAGTGAAAGATTCTCTTCAAGTCTCTCTACATCGTCAAGCATTGCAAGAATAAATAAGAGTACCACAAATAAAGAAAAAATTCCAAATCCAACAGCTTCAAATCGGCAAAAATCTAATTTGTACAGTATTCCCCAAGATTCAGTAACAGTAGATCGTTCTTTTTGGGAAAACTTCTGGCAAAACGGGATTCAGTTCAAGCCACAATGGACAGACGAATTTGATGAGTACATACGAAAAAAACTACCTACATGTGTCTTATCCTATAAAAATCACAAGTGTTATAATTCCAGCAGAAAACGAAATTTGTATTTTCAAGCTACTGCTAAATGCAAAAACATAAAATGCACAAAATTCAAATTCGTTGTTAAAATGCCTATCTCCGAGCCATTTAAAGATCTAAATGTAAGTATATTTTCTGATGGAATAATTTGCCACGATCCTAATGACGTTAATCGCAGACATATTCGTGGAAAAAGGCGAGCAAATCTCGCAAATGAATTAAGATGTAAAAAGCCTTGTGTTTTTACAAGAACAAGTCTTCATAAAGTTCCAAAATATATTTTAGACAGTGGAAATCGTAATGATGCTCCTAGTCAGATGTTGGCTCAAAAAATCTCAAGTGAAAATAATACATCGCACGATCTTGACAATAACTGGCTGTTTTTTAGAAAAATTAAGATTAACGTTTTTAAACGATTGGCCAGATCAAAAATGCCCCGGCTACATTCAGCAACTTTCTAGATATCCATTTTATTTGATTTTATTTAGTGGTGAACAATTGGATGTTCTTATAACTAAATCAAAACAAAATTTCACGTTTATGAATTTTGATGCTACTGGTAAAATAGTTGCTCCTATTCTAGAAACTAACACACCAATACTGTATTATGCTTTAATAATTGAAGGTTCCTCCAGCAATAAATACGGACAATTACCAATAGCCGAATTTATTTCGGCTGTTCAGTCAACTTTATATATTACCATTTTTTTATCAACATTCATAACAGCTTTAAAGACTCGAACTGGTGGCAAAAATATAATAAATAAGATAGAAGTTGATTTCTGCATAGCATCAATACAAGCAATAATGAAAGCTTTTAATGACATAAACCTAAGCAGTTATTTGAGTAATATATATACTTGGGCTCAAAAATCAATATTGCCAGAAAACATTTTGAACATCACAGTTATTCATATTTGTTCAGTACATATACTTCGTGCAACTATTCGGAAAATTAACTATTATACAGCAAATAGAAAGTTAAGACAAATTGCAAAAATGTTTGTTACTGAGCTAATTCACGCTAAAACATTAAAAGAAGCTGAAGAAATTTTTGAAGACATGATGATAGTTTTTTGCAGTAAATTTGATGGAGATTATGTTCGAAATGCGGTGAAAAAATTAAAACAATTACACATCACTTTACATGACGAAAGTGATATACCAGACCCTACAACCACCAATAATGAAAAAACCAGTACATCATATATTGTAGATGATGATGATGATGATAATACTTTAGATATAGAAAGTAGTTTGCGTCACAGTTCTCCATTTTATTTACATTTCGCAAATTATTTTGAAAATAATAGACATAAAATTGAAAACAAATCGATTGAAAATGTTAATACAAATTCATTGTACCTTCCAGAATTTTTTGAATATTTTCAGGAATATTATCTTCCATTTTTTCCATTGTGGTCGGCAATGGTTATTGCATATTTTGGAATATTGCGTGAAAGTAACGCTTCAGTAGAAGGATGGTTTAAAATTTTAAAACACCACATATTAAATAAACAAATAAATATTCCAGTTTCTCGATTAGTTAGAATTTTGTCAAATGAAATTAAACCACGAATAACGGAACGGAAATATTCCCTAATTACCTCTCGGCAACGTAAAAATGCACAACACAAAAAACACAATGAAATAATTCGAAATACTGACGAAAATAATGAATTCACCAACAAAAATTTTAATATTACAAATGCAAATAAAATTATCATTAAACAACATCTAAAAAAGAAAGGAATACCATGGGATTTGGCGTGTGAATCATGGGATAGATCTAAGCGGTATTTTTGTATTCCAAAATACCTAAAAGATGCTGAAGGCTTAATACAACTCGAGAAGAGAGTCCGTGCAGAAAAAATATTAAAACTAGAAAATCTACAGAATGTAAAAGAAAAGGATTCTAGTTGTAATAAAAAATTAAACGTAGAAAAATTAGAGATTTGTACGAAAAAATCAGATTTAAAAAATTTAGAGAAAAAAGAACAGATTACATTATCTCAAAATCTAATAAGTAATTTAAATTCATTACGACAAGTATCGTGTTATCCCCCTAGCTTTGTGACAAAAAAAATATATTTATATGGTCTATATTTAGATCGTACTAGCTGGAAGACTATGCTGCCTAATGAAGAGATAGATGATAATATTATTAAAAGTTTTTTAATTTTAATACAAAATATAGCTAGTAATAATAATTTTGATATTTTGTGTTTTGAGACTTTTCTTGCTGAACAAATTTTAACACAGAACCATATACCGAATGGATTTCATCGATGGGCCCAAAAAGTTAAAATATGGACGCATCAAATATGGGTGGTGCCAGTTGGTGACAGATCTAAAAACCATTGGTCATTATTAATTGTTAATTTACGACATAAATGTTTAGTGTATTTAGATTCTTTACATCTAGATCCACCAACGGGTTTGATAAACCAGATGGTTGATTTTATTAATTACCATTCAGAAAATAAATTAAACATCGATTGGACCGAATGGGTTCTGTACGTTCCCAAGGATATTCCTACGCAAGTATCAAAACAAAAATCTACTGCTAATAATTGTGGTACACATATTTTGACATGGGCATTTCTTTTAGCTACCAGTTCATATGTTTTTTTCACCGAAGATGATATGCCGAATATTCGGATGGGAATTGTGACTCTACTCCAAAGTACTGATGAAAATAAAAATAGGCAAGAAAATATTGAGAAAAATCGAAATTCTATATTTACCGAAGGAAAATTATCTAAATCTATGATAATAGCATTGACAATAAAACTTGTTACAGTAAATTCACCTCCACTAGGCTCTCAATCCACAGTAGAATATTTCTCATCATTAAAGCATCTTATGACTGAACAACAGGCCTATGAAACTCGTAGATGTAATCGTCATTAACAAAATTGAGCCCAATTAGGTATAGATTAGATCATATAGATTATATAAAAAAGTATAATAAAATTATTTTACAACAATTGAAATTCGCTTTAGAAATAAGCGATTTGACAGAACGCTGGCGAATGAAACATGTTCCAGTTACCATAAATAATACCCAAATACCTTACAATGCTACAGCAAAATATTTAATAACTTTGATCGCTAGGCTGCGCTGGAAAACCAAATAAAGGAAGAGCTAGGAATAAAAATACGAAAATATATTGGAAAATTGGAAAGCATTCTGACTTAACAAATTACCCATGTATGTACAGGTACTCAAACCATTGTGGACATTTAGCTGTGGGGATATGCCAGTAAGAGTAACATCAAAATAATGAAGTGCTTCCAGATGAAAGCAGTGAGGAACATATTTATTGCTCCTTGGTAATTTAGGAACCGTAACCTTCACAGAGACCTGGATATGGATAGTGTTAACTAGATCATAGCCAACAATAACAACAACAACATGGTTAATATCGAATCCATCCTTGATAATCAGAAAATGAAGTATGTGAAATAGTGTGGCAGATACACACGTTAAACATAGTGTAAATAAGTTATGAAAGTAGAATATTTATTGTTGAGTAAAAATTCAGTTTAATTATTTAAGTATCATTCTAGTATCAAAATAGAGCTTTTGCAACTCGGCACTCGATATTGTATTTTCGATTGACGCATTCTTGTAAAATATTACTTGAGGTCTCGACCCTAATTATATTTTGATAATTTTAACACTCGATATTGTACATATGACTAATGTATTGTTTCGTTTTTCTTGAGAAATCCATTCATTTAGGATATAACCCAGCAGCGTTATTTAAAAATAATCATGTTTTTATGTTAAGTATTACCCTAGCACACAAATGTAATAATTTCAAAACTAATTCAGAACTTGATATTATATTGACGATTTTTATAGCATATTGCTTGATGCATTCATTGATTTATGATATAACCCAGTGCCGATCATTTTCCAGTAAGAAAAATCATCATATTTTTATGTGAAGTGTCTCTCGAACATAAATATATTTATTTTAAACATTCGAGAAATCAATATTGTATTATCGATTAACGTATTCTTGTAATCTGTTGCTTGAGGAAATCCATTGATGTATGATTTAACCCAGTGCCGATAATTTTTCATTATGAAAAATCATATGTTACTTGTATTTATTACTTTAGCATACAAATATAGTAAGTTTAATAATCCAGCACTAAATATTGTATTTTTGTTTGACGTATTCTTGTAAACTATTGCTTAACAAATTCACTGATGTATGATATAAACCAGTGCTGATTATTTTTCGTTGTGAAAAATCATATTTTTATGTAAAGTGTCTCTGGAACTCAAATATATTTTGTTCACTTCATCGTTTTAAAACTCGATATTGTTCTTTTAATTAATATATTTTTATAGCATATTACTTGAGGATGCTACTTATGTATGATGTAACCCAGCGCCGTCAATATTTCGTTAAAAAACATGTTTTTTGTGTTAA